TATTAATGGGGTGGGGAGAGGGGGAAGAAAAAGTATGTGAAGGAGAAAGAAGGGAGGCGTCAGCAGTAGCCTGTTTTCGCTTACCCGCCCTGCTGTATGCAGCAAGTAAGGCGACCCGGCTGATGGCACCACGCGACGGCCGATGTGGCATGAGTTCATTTGTGTATGTGCAATTCATGGTTGTACGTGGACTGGGATACTGCCAGGGCGCCCACACCTAGACAGGAGGACGTTTAGGGTCCTCAACCAAAGCCTTTGGCTCAAATACCTAACCGCAAGGCAGCGGTGTTTGGCGGGAAATGCAAACGCATCACAATTTCTACGGAACAAGTCGCCACATGTTTTAACCCCCAATCTGGGGGGCCAGGAGAGTTCGTTCGTCAGACCCCTAACCGGTGACCAACCTGGTATAAGAGGCTTTGTGGTGGTTGCGGGACACTCCAGTATAGCTCAATGACTGAGGTGCAAGGAGACTGTGTTCGTCAGACCCCTAACCGGTGACCAACCTGGTATAAGAGGCTTTGTGGTGGTTGCGGGACACTCCAGTATAGCTCAATGAATCGCTGAGGTGCACAAACCATCACACCACGGTAAGGCCCAGTCTCTTCGTGACGGGGTCTGGTAGGCGCTTTATACCTGAAAATTTCGAAGTACTGCTACAACACTGGGTAAGATCAAACCCAAACCTTATGCATGTGAACGAACTAATCGACGTGGTAGGTAAACTTGTCTACCTGGACGGTTGTATAAGCTCCGGTGGACTCGCTAGAGACGATATTAGTTCTCAAATCGGAAAGGCCTGGGCAATTTTCGCCAACCTTCGCCACCTGTGATGCCGAAGTGACGCCTATCTGTCTGTCTGTCGAGAGCAGAAGGTACACCGTGGTGGTGTGATTCATATTGTTTCATAGATCATGGCCTTTACGCGCAAAGCATGCACAAAAGCTGTGAATGTCTGACCATCAATGTCTGCAAAGCATTGGCTGGATTAGAGGGGAATATGGAATTAGCAATGCTGATGTGCGCCAGATGGTTTTAAGGACAAAGAACCCCCTTACAATGAATTTGTTAACCACACTTCGTGGGCCATGCTAGCTAGGACATATACTTGAGATGCCAGAGGACCGTCTGCCTGACAGAGCTCTGTATCCCGGTCTTACGGCGAGTGGAAGCGACGGAGAGGTGGATAGTGAGGTGGAGGTAAGATAGGTTAGTGGTTAGAGCGCGGATTTATTGACCGGAAGGTTGTTGCTTGAACCCGACTTCTGCCTCTCGGCTTCCCCTGTCTGCGCTTGACCAACCTGGCAGTATCCTAGCCCTCGTACTTCCTTCAGGTGGCATGACAGCTATGCATGGAAGTATGTTACAGCTGAACGGTTATCTTTATTTATTACTATTATTATAGCTTATCATCTATCAACCAAGTGGGAAGACGTTAACCTGTAAACTCAGTCGGACTGACAACTGCGAATTCCCTGGATGGGGCTCCGAGACCCAACTCACCTGTGGTTAATGCAACTGTCGGACATGGCCTAATCACGCAGTCATTGGAGCTCCTGTATGAAAGATATCGTCTTCAATGCGTAGCTCTCCAGCTTCCAACGTTAGATATTCCTCCGGATGATCTGCTCCCCGAACTCCTCATAGAAGGTAGTGAGACCCTAGTGAACGGCCTGACGTTTGGAACGAAAACAATGTCAATAGAACGGAGCGCTTCGATGGTGATCCCGAACTTCAAAAGCCGTCCAAAAACGCCGCGCAAAGACCAGTACTTGGCTGTGTCTCCAACGCTGTCCCATTTTCCGGCGATCCAAGGAGAATGGTCGATTAGCGCTGAGGATGATTTCCTGTGTATACCGGAATGCCTTTCTTTGAATCGAAAATGCTGACAAGCCGTTTGAGATAAATGAGAAGTGTGAAATAGGGATCGTAAATAATCTTGTGGAATTTTTTTTGACGGCAAACACGATTGCAAGTGCTCCTTTTTCTAGTTGGCTGGTGTCGAAAATTGGGTTACAGGGACAATGGCTTTCAGTCGCTTCAGGAAATCGGTAGGAAATGAGTGATCCGTTTCCATGGTTGAATGCATCTGACGCAGCAGGTCTGACAACAGAAGTGCGTGACTCTGTTGAGAGCCGATTGACACTGAGGTGACCAGTTCCTGAGAACATCCTTTTTTAAGAGGTGTTTGGGAGGAAAGAAGTAAGCGTTCAGCTGTAGCACCCTTTCGGTGCCTAGCTGCCATGCCACCCGTAGGAAGCACGAGGGCTGGGATACTACCAGGTTGCCCAAACCTAGACAGGGGAAGTCGAGTGGCGGAGGTCGGATTCGAACCACGGACCTTCCAGTCAGTAAATTCACGCTCTTGCCACTTGGACCACGAACACGATGCACTTCTGGTAGAAGAGTACTCTAATTGCTCACCAACCCGAGGATAGACCGCAGTGAGGGCACATCTGTCGGTGATAGCGTTCTACGAATTGCGCCAATGTTGTCCAGGTCAGGATGACGGCCATATTTACCGAATATTTGACAGGCGTAAGAAGGATTACTCATTTTTCCGTATTCCTAGCTTCCATTAAGTAATGAGGTCGAGTAGTAAAGGTATTCTTGATCAGAGACTGTCACAACGATATCATCCAAGTACGCCACGACGCTTGTTAACTCTTTAGGTATGGTGTCAATGATCTGTCGGGGTATACCTGGTGCCGCTGTTACTCCGAAGGGAAGACGACTGAACTAGAAAAGACCACGGCGCGTGTGAACGGTTAGCTTATCCTTGGGGTCATCTGCAAGTTTGTCTTGTATATAGGCATCAGTCAGATCGGAAAAGTATGTGATACCATTAAGATTGGTAAACACATCTGGAACTTGGAGGGGATACTGATGTGAACCGACTGTAGCATTCAGGCCTGAGAAATAATCTGGGGCTGTATCGAGATGAAGACGGGTGGGATGGTCATTCACGGAAATTGCTGCGGAATGCGAAATCCACTCTGAATGGTACGAACACAGAAGATATTTTGGGTGGACTCTTTCGGTGGTCAATGGGCTTGGTTCACCGTGGGGAAAAATTTTTTCTTCATCATCACGCCATCATTGACAGCATGACGTCGGTGTTCAACACCGATGCTTTGCTGCCGTACAACCATGATGTAATTCGTGTATCGGTCATATTCACGTTTGCAAAGTTTCCTGAGTAACTGGCGTACCTTTCATGGGTCATCTTGTTTGGCGAAATCAATTTTGAACAAAGAGTGGCGTCAAAAGTGTATTCGGTGATAGGTTGAGGATAAAATTGATGGTTTATGTATACTGCTTTCTGGAGTCTGAGCACAGATTTTTGGCCAGCACTTCTATGAGTGTCAGCTGCGTGTGCTCAGATTGTTGTTGTTGTTGCTGCTGCAGTTGCAAGCGCTTAAACTGCTTTTGTTCTGGTTCTAAAATCACGTGAAGTTAGGCAGTTGAAACCCGTCGTCAGTGTTGTCTCTTTGGTACAAGGTTCACGGCGGATAAACTGAAGTGAACTGGTCATGACATCAGCCTAGTGTAGTCGTGGCATCCAGGGTGTTCACTGGCAGTATTTTTTGGGCAACTTAGTCGACTGTCGGGAGAGATAAACTCGTAAAAATCAAACGAGCTTTCACCCTGACTGAGGACACTACAAGCATATTTTTCACGTGAGTTCACCAAGTCGGGTAGTGTAGGACAACCTCGTCCTCCTGTCATTCCTGTTCAGGTTTGATGCGCGAAAGCTGGTGCTACAAAAGTACCCTAACGCACAACGCTTCGTTGAGTTTTGGATCAGGTCTGATGCAGTAATTACGTCTGTCTATTCCACCAAACATTTATTTTTCGTGTTGTAAGTCTGTTTTCCTTGGACTCTTATATGTGTGTATTTCCCTGTGTGCTGAATCGATAGGAGTTGATCCGAATCCATGCTCCCATTAGCAACTGACATTTGTCGAAATCGACATCATCCTTAAATGGATTTTTTCCATTTTCAGATGGCTTATGTTCGTTTGTACTCCTCGATGCCCGTCAAGCGACACAATGTGGCCATGGTAAGCCTTTTCCATCTACACAATCACGCTGCTAACTAGATACTTCATGGTTGTGGTGTGTATGACGGAACTGAAATACATGAGGCGACAAGGTTCGTGTGAATCTCCTCTGATTTTCTTGGCCTTGACAGCATGCTAATACACTTGAGCAAATTGAATGTCAACGTGTCCTTATTCGCCCCGAACATCAATCAAATGCATGTGGTCAACCATCTGGACGGAAGTGTGATGAAAGAAACGAGGTTGGCCGTTTCATTCAATTGTACATAAACTACCCAGAAATGTGCTTGTAGAATCTGCGCGAATTGCGAGAGGAAAAGTTTCACCTAGAGAGTTGCCGCGTACTTGCCCTACAGTGGTTATAGCCGCGCGCATGATATAATTGATGCGTAAATACAGGGTTTCCAGTGGACTCTTAATTGAGGATATTGAGAGGGCAGCTAAGCATCGAAGACTAGCTAGGCTGCACGAGCACCACTGAGGACACCACTGAGCCGTGTCTGACAATGTGTCCCACTTCGAGGTCCCCATTCAAGGAGACGGCAATGATCTACGCAACTAAGTTAGCTTTTAATTGATTTCATACTTCGCTATCAAGTCATCGTTTGACCCCCTGCCTCGTTTCCACCCTTCATGTGGTTGTGCCTGGGACGTTTAGAATGTGTACGAGAACGATTTAGAATAGCGTCCGGGTTTTCGAGGATAAGCAACGTTTTACTTGTCTAAGAACAAGCGTTGATGAGCTGAAGTGTACATACAAACGCTCAATACAAGTATAAATATTATAATAAGCACACAAAAATCATGGCAGTACCAAAAGATCCCTTCGAGGAAGTCGGTCGTAATCATTTTCATACTCCTCTGCCAGGTCAAGGGTTGGCCACCTCTCTGCTTCCGCCACTCCGAGTTTGGCATGGAAAACGGCGTTCTCTTCGGCAAACGATGGTTCGGCATACACAATACATGGCCCCATCAACGCAGGTTATGGTTCTGGACACATTCTTCAATGGAAGTACCCGCTGCACAACCGAAAACTCGCTTTCTAATTGCCTTGTTACGTATTCGCCGACACCCAAGAGCCGCAACCCACACGAGCTATGGTTCTGAGACAACAATTGTCGAACCCGTGAAGTCGTGTCCGTTCCGCTGCTCGAGCAAACCAAATATCGTATCCGTGCAGCAAAACAGTCCGCACTGTAGTTGGCACTGATACATGCGTCCCTCGAGATTCGCGGATATACCGGTTTGACGCCATAGGTGTCTCAAATTAGCAAAGGCGACCAGAGCCTTGGGGATTCGTGCTAGGCCTCATCTGTCACACTTCAGTCAGAAGTGATGCAGCTCCCAAGGTACGTGAAAGCCTTCACAAGTTCTAGTACCTCTCCATGGACTGTAAATGGCGAAATGATTTTTGTCAGTTCTTCCGAAAACACATGCACCTTCTTTTCTTCGAAGACGAGTACTATATCGTCTGCATATTTCGAATCGACAAAGGTTTCGTCACAGGCTATTTGAACTCCGCGGTTTTTGAAGCCTGTCATTGTTCGTCTCATTATTTTATCGTTCACGAAGTTAAATAGGAATTAGGAGAGTGGACACACTTGGCAAATATCGTTTTGTTTATGGAAGCTTCTGGAGTGCTCGCCGTATACTCTCACATGTTCGGCAGTATGTTTTGTGTCGTCTATACACATGGCATTGTTCTAGCACCTGACGGAGTGTGAAGATTTCGTCAGTGCGCCCCCTTCCGGGTCAGAATCCCGCTTGCTGCTCTCGAATCAGTGTTTCATGGGTCACCAATGAAGCAACAGTCTCGTTGCGACCGGTGTCAAGCTGATTCGCCTGTGGTTACCACACTCTTTACGGGCCCTTTTTTGAAAGCGCGCTCTATTACCGACTCTTCTTTTCCGACTCCTTTTTCCGAAATACACTGATTGAGGAGTACCTTACCCCTATTTTTGAGCAAATCGGGTTGGAGGTCATCTGGACCAGAACCTCTGGCCTTCAGTGAGTTACAGCTGGTGGCCACTACAGTTGTTGTTCGAAGTATTCGGCCCAACAGTTCAGGCGTTCCTCTTGGGTGGTGCTTCAATTCCGACTAAATTTGGTGTCAAATTGAGGGCCCTGTAGACCGTTAGTTGAAAAGCGAATTACATGATTGACTAGAATTGAAGAGTTCGCGAAATATCTGGCTGCTGTGGGTGCGATCTAGTTTCCATGATGGACCGCATGTTAGTTCATCTGTGTGTGGTGGCCGTTTGGCCTATCACAGTTCTTTTTCGGATTAACCGATTGGGCGTGGGTGGTGTTGGCAACTCGGATGTTTGTGACAGGCTTGCGCCGGGCTGCTTCCCTTTTCCATCAAGTTTGTCGTTGTAAGTAAGGTTTTTCGTCCTTATTCGTGCGATATTCCGGGACAAAAACGTGTCCCAATGTGATTTTTAAAATGCCGTTCGGTTTCGCATTTTGTTGCAATACACATCCTACCACTTTTTACGTGCAGACAGCGAGTGTGATGTTTCTTCAATTGATCGCATCAGTGTCACTCGCAAGATGTGATTGTAAGCCTGAGGAGACGTGTGACCCAAAACACATAAAATCTAACAGTGGTTGACGTTTACAGTACATAAGTAGGTGCAATCACAGTCTCCATGTAGGGCTGTAAACATATTAGGGTGTTACCATTTCCAGTGTGCAATTTCCTCGCCCAAGTCACTATTATCAAAGGTTTGATTTTTGCATTCACACCAGATAAAAGATGAGTTCCAACTATATGCTGTCTCGTGCAATCTTCGACTGTAAGTCGATAGCAAGGGCGCAAAAGTGCACCGCCTTCAGTACCGTCTACAGAACACGATGTCCAGCTAAATTTATAGAGAATTCTCGATAAACGCAGTTACCGTGTTTCCATCATGCTCATATTCTACTTGTACCTGAATTAGACGCGATTCTGGAAGTGTACTCACTTGTACACTAGTCTCGTCCTAACAGGGGATTCGGATTAATCCCAACTAAACGCCTACGATATTTTTCAGCGGAATATGCTGAACAAATGCCGCTTCATGTTCCAGCTAGTACGATATTCCAGGTATGGCAGTACATTGCCTAAACGCAACACAATACTCACAACGTTGCTGAAAATTCCTTCACTTCTGAGGATTGATTTTGCCCTTCTTAGGGTTTATCAAGTAGGCGCTGTGTCCGAGTTTCCCTTACCTAGACCGTTTTCTTCGAAATTGAACAGTATTTTCACGTAACTACACTGCATGGGCATCAGCGGTGGACTCCTGTACCGCTCATAGTTCGTTTTCTCCTTAGACAGGTAACACGCATACAACAGAAACCAATCTAAATATAAAAATAAAACTAACCATGGTGAAGGTTATCACGATTAACTGGTTACTTCGACCCGAGTACTAGGGCAACGGGAAGTTCCCCCTGTTGGCGCAGGTTTTTCTTTTTGTATTGGGTTGTGGTAACCTACGAAAATTGTCTTTGTTGGGTGTCCAGCTTACTGAGCACAGTGGTCGACTGGATTTTTCCGCCGGGCCGTGATGTTTTATCACATTCGGTTGATCACCGCCTGGCAAGAAGGAGGACATATGGACTGGTGTGGTTCCCAGGGTTGTACCGAAGACGCCGCCTTATACGTCTCTCATCGTGTTCGGTTTATCTTCTGTTTGATCAATTTTGTACGCGCTTGCTGAGATATTTACAGTGAGCCGCACCATTGTGTTCCTTTTCCGTACTAAATGAGCTGATATTTCAACACCCCCTGTGTTTAGTTTAGTTGAACACAGATTTTTCGTGGGTGATCAGGTGCGTTTTCAACTGGTGCACGTCTTGGAGAAGTCTTTTGAGTCTGATAGATCAAGTCTTCCGGCGTACATCGTGGTTTCGAGTTGTGAAGTGGTTTGCTTATTCTCAGCAGATAGTAACTCAGTTCTTAACTTGTTTTTATTCGGCATGCTTAATTCTTAAGCGGGTATTTCCATATAAACAAATTAAATAGAGAGTGTATAGCTGAATTCGTACATGAAGTATCACTTACCGACCAGCATCATCAATGACGGCTACATCAGGGGTGAACGCTGGTGCTTCGCTGCCCTGTAATGAAAAGAAGGAAAAAAGAAGACATGGCGCCTGCGTGCTGTAAATATCCAAGGTGCCTACCTCTCCAGAACCATTTCAGACCATCTGGATTGAACCTGACAGCATGAACATCAATGGCGTCTGTTAGCTGCTGTGACGTTCAGTGTCTCTAGCCAGTCACGTGAGTTACTTGGTGATTCACCAAGTCGTGGCTAGTTGAGCGGTCTGTTGAGATGAAATAAGTTGTCCAATCCGATCAACAGACGGTTTCCTAGACAGTTGTCGAAAGCTTCCAGATACCATGTTATTGCATCGACGACACTGACGCCTAACCAACGTGCAGGTAATAAGTCTGAAGGAAAAATAATATCTGAAGCAAGTAAGGGCTGGAGGCTCGTTATAGAACGAGTCATTGTAAATGAAGGCAGGACTTTCGTGAATTCGGTTATCTGACATGAACTGGTATCATCTACCCTTTAACATCCCTTGCTGTCATCATCATCATTATCGAGAGCATGACATCGGTGTTCAACGCCGATGCTTCACTGCCGTACAACCATGATTTATTTAGAAGCCTTACTATAAAGAAAAGAATAAAGGTGGATGGTGGAGGGACTTAGTGCTAGCTTATCACAATCATTCCGAGGTGCCCATACCTCCAGACACTCACTCAGGCGATCTGGAAAGAGACTGACAGCAAGAACGCCAATGACGTCGATTGACAGTCACATCTTGTAATGTCTCCAACCAGGCACAGAGAGGATCACGCGGTCCCCATCCTGGAAGGCGAGTAGCACCGACAGCACCCAAGCGTTTCGTGATCTTTTTCGTACTCCTATGCCAGGTCAAGGGTTGGCCAACTCTCTACTTCCACCACTCTGAATTGGGCACGTAAAAATTACTTTTTGGCAAACAATGGTCCGGCATACACAATACACGAACGCAGCTTTTTGTGCCAGACACATTCTTTGTTGGAACTACCAGTTGCACAACCGAAAACTCGCTCTCTAATTGCTTTGTTACGGATTCGCCGACCCACGCGAGCCATGGTTCTGAGACAACGATTGTCGAACCACTGAAGTTGTGTCAGTTCCGCTGCTCGAATAGGCCAAGTCTCACAGCCATACAACAAAACAGCCCGTACTGTACCTTGATACACACGTCCCTTCAGATTCAAGGATAAACCATTCTGAAGCCATGGGTGTCTCAACTTAGCAAACGCGGCCCGAGCCTTGCAGATTCATGCGTGATAAATGGTGCATAGGTTTTCGACATCCACCCACTAGAAATACTACTGCACGCATATGACTTACCATCCTGTTCCTAATGTCCTCGAGCTCGGCCACGAATCGCCCTACTCGTTTAAGATTGATGTGTTAATTCGGACTGCTTGAATATACCCTTCTGTGTACACGACTGTTCTTGTGGATCCTTCGGTCGATCCCAGTTTACCGAATGCCCCATTTGCATGCTTGTATCTAACATATTCACCGAAGACGCAGGGACTGCGCACCGGCGATCACACTAAGCTGAAAATTGTCTCCGGAAGAGCAGTTGCTATATCCACCACTCGTAATGTATTCGTCAGCAGATATTTGGTTGTTGTATGAAAGATTTCGAGGAGGAACAAGACAGTCGTTCATAACACGCTGACCTCGTAACGAGTTCGAACCCTGTTGGTTTTGTGTGTATCTGCACAAGGTTACAAGCTTGGTGAGACTATGGGAAGAGGAAGAACCCTACACAATCGCGCTTGGGATCCGTCCACAATGTTCATATTTTGCTGACGTGCATTCCTTTCTCCATCTGTGTGTAACACTTCTCCGTTCTACCATCGTTTCTATTGTCAGGCTGTGCTGCATCGCACCGGTTCTCGCAGCCAAGTGCTGTCCCGGGGCTGAACTGACTATGGGTGGGGTCACGGAACAGAATGGTCGGTGGCCTTTTGCGGGAGCATCAGCTGCTGCGAAGCAGATGGGGGCGAAGATAGTTCCCAGAGAAGTCAACGTATCCTTTTTGTTTGTTTACGCTCTCCGACATGGATAAGAAGTACCAGTCTGTGCACTTTGGCACATTAAGCCTAATAAAAAATAGACTAACTTCTCAGAGTGTGTTAGTATACTCAGGGTAGTTGACTGGTGACTGTGTTATGTGAATTAAGCCGTATCAGTAGTAGGTCTGCTTAATTTCTTGCCGCGTAAAACGAGGTGGGTGTCGACACCTTCTACATTCATTCAATATTGTCTCTTAACCGCCTTTCTGTCTCGTTTAACCCCTACTTGAATTTGTCACTTTGTGGTGGTGGTTGAGCGTGAGTACTGAAATGGTTCTGCAGACTACAAAGCCACATGTGAGTATTTCTCGTTATGTGAAGCCTTTTAATAGGAACTGAGCCCTGGCCTATCCAGCACGAGATGTTTACATATTGTTTTAGCCACCGGGGGAATCCGTTCACGGAGACGCGACTGGGCGATCTGCATAGGCTTGACGGTAGACTTACTGCTTGTGGTGATCCCTAACTGTTCCTCGGTATCCCTGTATCCAGACGTTGTTGCACCATTCGGTGTTTCCCCCTACTGCTCCCCTACTGTTGAAGAGGCATAAAGCCATATTGATCACTTAGTGTATGTGTATAGTGTGTGGGGAGGCGCTGTTTCAGACTGTCGGTTTGTCAAGGTCATTGGCGTCGACCTGGATGATGTTGTCGTCAAGTATATGTTTTCTGTAAGCTTACCGTGAGGGCTTTGGCAACGAACTCCTCGTTCCACCATCGACGAACTCGTTCAGACTCACAAATTGAGGAACCTTATCGAAGTAACTCACATGGAGCTTTGAGAGTGGCATCTTGAGAATGCGTCCACTGTAACTGGGACTTAATAAGTGCCACCATTCCCATAACTGGAGACTTGATATTTTGTACTTCGGAGGGCTCACCTTATACACACAGCATAATTCGACTGGAAGGTATGTTGTGCGCCAGGTCAATCATAGCCTTTTTAGATGGGATGTCAATGGTTTTGTGTGTGTGTGTGTGTGTGATTATAAAAGCTACAGGGCATCACACGTAACTGGTTACGGTGGTGTTATCATCATCATCGTCGTCACGAGCGACATCCATGTTGTCACTGGTGCTTCACTGCCGTACAACCATAAGATTCATCTGGTGTGTTGTGTACTGGAGTTATGTTGAGTGATGTTCGCAGAGGACCCGGTTCCGTCCCGCTGATGGCTTCTTGGTGTTACCTGATGTTCGGATGTGTTTATTTCGGTGGCTTTTGAAAGGTGTGAGTACCGTACTCTTTATCGGTTTCCCTGGTGGCAGGGATTTTTACGGTCTCTTCGTTTTCATGGATGTGCCAGTTTCTGTCCCTCGTATGATGCTGTAGAGACTTGGAATTTTGCACTTCGGAGGGCCCACCTTATACACACTGAGCATAATAGGACAACAAAGTATTTTGTTCGTCAGGTCAGTTGTAGCCTTTTTAGATGGGATACCAATTATTCTGTGTGTGTGTGTGTGTGTGATTATAAACGCTACAGGGCGTCGTCATCATAACGAGCAACGTCAGTGTTGACACTGATGCTTCACTGCCGTACAACCTTAAGGTTCGTCTATATATATATATATATAATCACCTTGGTGTCATTGTGTGCTGAAGTTGTGTTGGCGGTGCTCTGATTTGATCTTTGGATGTGTTTATTTTTTTGGCTTTTGAAAGGTGTGTTCTCCCTAGGGACAGGGATTTTCGCCTGAGTCTCTTCGTTTTCATGGATGTGCCAGTTTCTGTCCCTCGTATGATGCTGTTCATAATGAATATAATGTTGGTGGTGATGGTGGTGAGTAACTTCTGCGGGTGACATTCATTCATCTACGGACTCCGTATTCTCCGAGTTCTCTTGATTTCCTTAACTTGCATCGATTTTCCAGGACATCCAGGTTGACGAGGAGCGTAAAATTGTCACCGGATGTGCCTACATGTGTGGGACCGCATCTGTCGGTGAAGTGTTTGACGGTATCGGGCGCATTGTGGATGCTGTTGTACATATGTGATTTCCCATGTAGACTGTCTCTGACCGAATTGCCTCTGGTCACTTTCATTCCACTTTTATCATGATTCATTTAAATACAAATATGCCACAGCGATTCCAGTGTTTTGGTTCTTACTGGTTGGAATGAGGTTCTCTTTATGTACCGCCAGCCTTTTTGTTATGTTTCAGCTTGTGGACATTATTCAGTTTAGCGATTGAAGGGACACGTCGGTGGAGTGAATTTGGTAGTGTGCATTCAGATTGTTATTCGATTCATTGTTGGAAGATGTTGAATCTTGAATTTGTTGTGGAAGTTTCTATTCAGGATTTAGTCCTATAAACATTAGGTTTCTTTATCTCCAATTCATCTTTTCAAATCCGCGGCTAAACCTTCATGTGTAGACACGAAGTGTTGGACCATACCTACAACAACACTTCTGGATTTAGTTGGCATACGTAGAACGTCGCCGCGCCCCTTCTTTGAATAGCGTTAAATGTTTGGTGCTACCGGAGTACCTGCCTTTTTGTGACTACCTCGTCGTGATTTGTCTAACTCCATCTAGTAACAACAGTGCTTAGGGGATATCGCTAATCCAAATCTGAGGGTGCCTGGGACCGTATGCTGCCCAGGCAAATTATCACAACCGTAAACTACCACACGTGGAGGATCGGTGTATCTCATCCAGGGGAACAATCCGTGGACATCCCTTCCATTTTTCACCGCTTCCACTTCTCAGGCCTTTTAGACTAATGAGCCATTTTCATTGGGCTTCCGGTTGAATTGTGCCACACGTGGAGGATCGGTGGATTTCATCCAGAGGAACAATCCGTGGACATCCCTTCCAGTTTTCACTGCTTCCACTTCTCAGGCCTTTTAGACTAATGAGCCATTTTCATTGGGCTTCCGGTTGAATTGTGGTTTCGGTCAGAGTTGATCTCTCTCTCTGGTCTTCAGAGAAGCTACACTGTTGTTATCAAAACCTACTGTCTGGAAGAGGTCAGTTGATTTGAACCACGCGTAGAACTTCCGACATCGCAGGACACGGTCGGTTCAATGATAGTTAATATACGAAATCGAATCAGCACTTTAGCTCCGGAGCAGCCGTCCTTGAAATATTCGTCTAATTTAGGGTTTTATGAGCTCCGATTTGCTGGATGTGGCGTGCGTATTCTGCACCAACCTGAAAAGTGTGTGAAAGAGCTCGCTCTTTATCGTGGATTGCGCGTATCCAGAAGAGGCGGTAGGTAATGGTCGACACTTATCATCGGTAATCGATTGTAGTTAGGTGTACGCGGCTGGCTCGGTGTTGGGCACTGTGTGATCACCCAACACTGCAAAAGAACCGTCTGTGATCACCGCACTTTACGATAGGCGTTCTTGATGGTCCGTGCATCTCATGTCCAAGCCAAGGCGATCAGTCAACTGAACCCTGTCAGTGTTAAGCCCGTGTAACTGTGCTTCCAGGTCACAAACGCCCACAACGATATTCGCACTTGGAGCGAATCTTCTTTCTACAGGTTCAAAAACTGACAGGTTGAGCCTAAATGTGTCCGTGTACGGATGAATCGGTCGGCTACAAACTGACCACGCAAAACCATAGTATTTTTCTATTCAGTTGTTTGTGATCCTCGTTGGCCTGACATGTTCGGTTGCTGACTCAATCCAATCTAATACAAACGTAGTTTGGTTACCTGTTTTCTAAGAGTCCTCTGTACGATTGTTGCACCCATTGGACATTACGGTTAATATCATCTGTCTGTCTGTCTCCAAACATGAGGCACGCAGATCATGCAATGTCTAGTCACGCGGCAGAGAACAGTCTGCTGTGAACTCGCTTCCACTTCATCCCAGCAGAATTTCGCGCTGCATCTTCTGGAATGAATGCGACTGCATATAACTCGGACTGGGTAGGATGTTAAGCCTCTGCGTATCTTCACTCGTCGATGTTTCGTATATATATCGATCTGACGGTAGCGAGTTTGTGAAAAACTATGTTTACCCAGTGAACATTCAGTGGTAGTTTGGGTATTCGAATTCGCAGTTTCACTCGATGTTATAAACATTGCTGTTTGGGTCATATGTTGAGCCTGATCTACCAATGTGTGTGTTGTTTTGACCATACAAACCTAGAGTTGGACAGAAAATGAATTATTAGGCGGGAACTAAGGAGGTTGTGCAACGTCTTATCGCTATGGCTGTGATTTTACATGATAAAGTCTATTTGAGCCTAACTGTGTTTGACGGTAAACCGATGTCACTGGTGTTCGTATTGCCATTCTCTGTTCAAATCGACCAGCCGGGTGTTGGCTGTCTGTTCAAATCGACCAGCCGGGTGTTGGCCTCTGTTGTCATCTCGAATGTCTCTGACAGGTTACACTAGGCTTCGTCCCTGTTCCATCAGAGTGGCTTACTGGCTTTTGGATCGGTGATATCGACAGAAATGGTGTTGGGTTCACCTCAGAGTTTACCTTCTTTATGAACCACCCGCTTTAGCAGAACTGTTCAAAGGCTAGTTCCTTTTGCTGTCACTGATCATCCTCTCTGTCTCCTGGTCTGGTTGGAGTTATCAAGTGATCCTTTTTTTAAACAACTAAAATGTCTGGAGTCGATGTTCTTTGGAATCGATACTCATTATTTTGACTAGTACTTTCACGTAGCAAAATGGCATAAGTAGCAGAGCCGTGTATGCCCGAAAAATAATTCGGGCATATTTGGATTCCTCATCAGGCACGTATTCAACAAAAAAGTATGTGAATACCAAACAAAAGTTGTCATGACGACGGTAAATGAGAGTACCACTGCCAGGAAACCCCACGTCACGTTGTTACTCTTGGTTTTATTAATATTGTCCGTCAATTTTGGGATCGGTTTCCATAAAGTAGCATTCGATTTGAGGACCTTTTTTGATCTGTTCCTTTGGCTCCGAGTATTCTTGATGTAAGCTGGATCTATCCTTCCAGTCGTTTGTTCTTGCTGTTGCTGCTATTGATAATCCTTCGGAGTTCATTGTTCTGGAGTATTCTGAGTAGATCGTTTTTGTCCTTCCATCTTAGCTCTGTAGTGCTCCAATGTGTCTCCGCCATCTTGAGTAGGGTTTGACCACAGTAGGTATTGCGGTTTATTGGATGGTACGGTCCTACCCGAAGTACCAGAAAACGACCTCAGTACTGCTCAAGGCATTACAACGTCGCAACGTTATTCTCTCACGCACCGATTATGTCATCTCGACTTATGAGGAAATGTTTGCAATCAAATTGCCAAGCCAAGCGAACTGAACAACAGGCATCTTTTTACGATGCATTCCTCCGTGTTTAACGCTTCTCCGTATTATCATATAATATCATCATAATCCATATTTCTAAACTGTGCTATTGCGTACCAATCCTCGTGATTTCATGTCTGCTCGGAGTTGAACTTGCCATGAGTAGGTTCACGAATGGGAGGGCGATCCCTGGGGGTCACTGGCCGAACAGCTGGCCACTTAGAGAGGATTCTTGTTAGGCTGACTGGTACTGGGTATCATCGCAGCTGTTTTCCGGAGATCAGGCAAGACGTCGCAACCAGCAGCTCGTTATAAATACTCCATTTTTTGAGGCATTCGTTTTATTTGTCTATTGAAGGTTTCATCACTTCTGTTTCGTGCTTATAGGATGTTAGGAATGACAATTCAGATGCCGTTTGGAAAGGGCTGCATCAAAATGGTGTTGGTCGTTAAACTCAACCAGACCATTTGGAAATGGGCTGAACGTTGAACAGCTTGGAATTTGCATGGGGACGATACACTATGGAATGCGGAATAATTAACACGCGATAATGAAATTGTGGTTCTATACCACCTTACTGTAACACCCCTTTGTATCATTTGGAGTGGAATTTGGGAATGAAGAACAAACAGTGGCTTCCCAAGATAGTTTACCTTGGAAAGTGGACTAAGGCGATTTGGTATATCCCCATACTGATCAACGATAATCTCATATGGAAGAGGTTCAGATTTGGGCGACCTAACTTTGAGGGTCCTAAACCGAATAGCTTCCGTGTAGCCTCATCTACGCGGTAAAAATATCGTAAAATGGGATTGAAAAGGCTAAATTGTGAGATCATAACAATCCAGTTACAGAATGAACCTGTCGCATTTGCCTGTTGTCGTTGCACACGTTCTTCAGAAACAACTAATATTCTTAGCGAATATACACTCATTTGCAAACTAATTTGGTTCTTTCGAGAGACTCACCTGGAACCCAGCTGAATCTCTTGTTTATGATGTTCTCAGGCAACTGAATGTGCTGCACCAGGCCGCCTCATGTTTCAGTCACTACGATATTTGAAATATCGTGATACACGTATATCTTTGTAATGTACTACTCATAAAGTTGCTGAAAATCCGTCGACAGCCCACGACCGGTTTCGTTCTTCTTGGGGCTCATCAGGTAGATGCAGTCCCCGGGTTTCCGTCAACCCTATGTTCTACTTGAAACCAAACTGCACGAAATTAGCGAATATACACTCATTTGCAAACTAATTTGGTTTTTCGAGAGCCTCACCTGGAACCCAGCTGAATCTCTTGTGTATGATGTTCTCAGTTTTATTTATTTTCATGAAGTGAAGTATCAACCGTGCCCGTATGACGTAAGAATGCTAATAATTTTCAGACATCAACATAACCAGTGTCATACGAAACAGAGTACGTGTCCTAAATGAAGGATAAACGTTTGACGATTACGTAACTAAAATCAAGAGTGATGGCGTGTGAACACCCGTTCCTTGTTCTATGGATGGCAGATGAGAAGCTATAGCTATATCTTACACAGGGTGAGTACAAACCACAGGTCTTGTTACATCATTCGAATGGGCGTCCGCATATGAAATCCTTTGCGTTCTGGGCAGATTGCGAGTTCCGACTGCTCGCATAACAACATTCTTGCCGGGTCCATGAGGATGTCATGATTCGGATGTCACACTTATTCGCTTCATTTTTTCTGACTGATATCAATCTTTGGAACTATTGTTCATAGCTGCAACAATTCACACTCGAAATATTGGGTAAGGGAGGCGCCGAAATTCATGACGGCCCCTTGATTTTTTGTTCAATCATCAGTTTTTTAAACGCAGTTCAGCG